TTTAATGCTGTAGCATCTGACCCACAGAGAGGAGGGCATCTCCAGCATTGGAGGTTTGTCAGTGCAAGTTAGACAAATGCTGGGCTGAGGTGGTTTAAACTGGGTTGTTCCTCACTTTGGAGCAACGGGTTGAACTAGATGATCTCCTGAGGTCCCATTCAGCAATGCCTTTTGTGAGAGAAAGGAATGGATCCTGTTTTAGAGCTGGAAAATTCTGTTGATGCTAATAAGAATGCCTCCCCCACTTACGGCTGAAGCAAACTCGCCAACTATTAATAGCACATATTAAGTCAATTAACTGAGAAACATCCTACTAAGGCATTTGCTGACATTCAGAGAGAGTGATCTGAGTGCACAGGCTGTTCATTAGAGGATCCAGATTCCTCCAGCATATCTTTATGAAACAAGAGATCTATAAACTAGTAGCAACTTAACTGGCGGGTAAAAACTATTGACTGTAAATCAACGACTTCCATGGGTCGGGATGGAGGAGGGTTGATATTTCCATAAGCAACTGTATTTTTTATGATTGCCCTTGTGATGCCTGCTGGTGGGAAAGCACGGGAACTCATCTACTTGGCCCTGGGAGCAGTTCTGGGGAGACAGTACATAAGATATTCTTTTGTCTCTGATCAAATCTATTGATGATCAACTGCGCACAGCAACTACCACTGCAGAATCCAAAAGTTATGATGGTCACTTAAACATGGAGTTTTCAAACCATATTTAACCCAATAAATAAGTGAATGGGGGCTGGGAACGATCCATTCACTGACCCAACTAACATGAAATTATGGGAAAGGAACAAGAATTCTTAATTGTAACAGAGATTGCGAGGGAAGCTACTTGCTGCCTCTGGACGTATATTGACTGAAAGAGCTTGATCCCTAAAGACCTCACTGAAATCAATGGAAGAAGGATTGGGCCTGAGCTTTCACTATCTTTCTTTTGAATGCCTCAGACAGATCAGAATGACTCTCTGGGAACTGTTCTTGCTAATTGTTTCATATGCTGCCTGCCTTATTCCAGGATAAATCCTCAAAACGCTGCTCAAGAACTGACCCAAGAGATTCCTCCTGGAATCCAGAAGGACTTGATGTGATGAGCACGCGTTTGTGGGCAATAGAGGTGGCAGCTGTTGACAGGCTAACCCTGCGGGGGATGAGGACTTACCCTCTACCCTTAAAATTGAAAGGTATGCTGTTTGCTTCTTCCAAACCACGCTTTACGCTGGAGTCAGCTGCGGGCTGTACCTCATTTCTACTCACACGTGTGTGACTGTTTAAACAAACACATCTGATTCCTCTTGTGTATTTGGCTTTCCTTAGTGGGAAGGAAGTTTGTGGAGAGTTTTGGAGCAGCGCTGTGGAAAGCTCGTTGTAAATCTATCGGTGTGAATCCAAGTGAAGGATGCTCCTGATGCTCTCAAGTGTTGGAGCCAATACTAGGTGGCCTTATAAACCAGCACATGCATAGGCTGAAGCACAGATTTTTTCTGGCCAAGTAATAATCAATACAGTTCGAATACTGTATATTAGACAACCAGCCTGTCATATCATCACGTTTTTCAATTAATCAATTCTTGACATAAGTTTAGAAAAAGATAAGCTATTGGCAAACTTTGTGGCAAATTATTCACTGCCAATTATTTACCTGGCTTTATTTTACAAGCACTTAAAAATATGTGTCAGTCTGTTCCTGAGTCATAAATGACTAACACTTGTCTTTCTCAATTGTCAGTAGCCCCTAGATACGAGGGGGACGGTCATCCAGTAAATAGGGGAGTCATCGGTGAGTCCACAGATGGCTGAAGAGGCCAATTTGGGATCTGGATGTTCAATGACATCTGCAAATCTTGTGACAAGGAAAGGGTGGGTGAGCACACTGGGTGCAAGATGCAGTGCCTGTCGGCAGCTGCTAAAACACTGGTTGCCCCTTACACAATTTTTCCTTTCAGCAAATGCCCCAGTGCTACAATAAGCTTCCTAGCTGAGCCTCCCCCTCCCATTGCCCAAAGCCTGTTCCCAAAGCACTGCCAATGTGCTCCTTCTGCTTCTCACTAGGTAATTCCTGGGCTTCTCTACGGGTGCCAAGTCCAGACACCTTGGGTGAAGGGACAGCAGCAGAAATGAGATCTGTCTCACTGAGCTCACATGGGGGAGGCTACGTCTGAAAGGAAGTGGAGGTGCATTTATTATTAATTGGCCAGAAAAATCTGTGCTCCAGCCCATGTGTGCTGGTTCAATAAGGCCACCTGGTATTGGCTCGGACACTTGAACAGATCAGAAGCATCCTTCAGTTGGCTTCACGCCTTGGTTTCTTTTCCCACAGGATTAACTGCTTTGATAGAAAGACTTTGCTGGATGCAGCACGGTGGAGCGCCTCTAGAAGAACAGGGATGGATGGGGGCAGGGGCAGATTTGTGGGGTGCACCGGTGCACTTGCACCCCCCTTTGATTCCTGATCCACCCAAAGCTTCAAACCAACTGCCTGGCAGCAGCAGTGGCATTTCTAGTCGGGCAGTGCTGTAGGAGTCACTTGACTTTATGGCTCATTGTAATCTACCTGGAGACAAACAGGTGATGTTTTATATTTGGTGATGCACCTCTCCATCTGCATGCCCCTCCTCAAACTTCTAGATCCACCCACGGACGGGCGCAGGGATTGTTCTGGGTGGGAACAGCAATGGGGAGTATGTTGGCATCTGGACCAGAGACCCTAGGGCCCAGCAGGCTCCAGGTGCCAGGGCAGCCTGTGGTGCTTCTGCACCTGGTAGCCCTGGGATTGGGGATGAGGCACAATCTGCTCCTTCCCTCCCCTCCCAAGGCCCCTCCTTCCCTCCCTTCGGGCAGCAGCCTTGGAAGGGGGATGGATTAAGACTAAAGAGTGCAGCCCCAGCGCCCTGCTTTCCCCGCTTACTGCGCGGGGTGCCAGCAGATCCGGACCCTTC